AGCAGGAAAATGGGAAATAAAGTCTGGGAAGAGGAGCAGCATTGCAAGCAAAAGCCTGACTGCTGGGCAGAACAGCTAGCGTAATCCCGCTGTCGGAGCATTTACAGACACATGTGATGTGCTGGGGAGCCAATCCTGCTCCTGTCCCTTGGGGTGAGGCTCATGCAGGTGTGCACAGCACCCAGGGGTGCGCCAGCAGGGGAGCTCAGAGGGAAGAGAGACGGGGAGGAGGGGAGAGAGCAGGAGGAGAAAGGAGGATCTTTTTCACCTGTAGCCGGAGGAAGTCCTGGGGTTTGAAGTCATTTGGGGAGCACCCACACCAGTCGACTATGTGTTTATATTGGCACTTACAGCCCAGCTTCCGGTTCCAGTTGGTCACTCGGAGGTTGTTATCGACCAGTGTCTCGCAGGCGTGACTGTTCTCCAGGACCGTGTGGAAGAAGGACTGTGCATGGCAGAGAAGGGACAGGAGAACCAGTGGGGATGGTTAAAGGAGACCCCTCCACCCCTCACTCACAGAGGAACAGGATAGGCTCCTGAACAGAAACCTATCCCTGTTCCCAGCACAAGGCAATGCATAAGAGACGAGGCTGTGTGCCCACAACAGTCCTTATCTGGCCCAGAGGGGCGCCTGGACCTAAAGCAGGGCTGGATATAAACATGAGCCTTGACTTGTCTGCTCCTCTCTCCCCTCTTTCATACCCAGGTCTGGGCAAAAGGGAGGCATAAAGCTGCCTGCACAAAGCAGTGTCCTTCACAGTTACCCAGGGTGGTAATGAAGTGGGAGAGAGATGTTAATACCGGGGAAGAAAATCCAGCCTGTGCCCTGCAGCCAGCACCCACCTCGGCTGGCAGGAGCGTGTAGGTGTAGAACTGGCGCAGCTGGGATACCAGCTGGTCGTCGGCATAGACCACGTACTCCACGAAGCTGCGCGTCAGCGAGAACCAGTCGGAGCCCCCGTCCACCACGATGCCCTCAGGGATATGGCGCTCGCCCAGCCGCCACATGTGGGAGTCACACTCGTGGAACAGGCGGTCCAGGCCCTGCTTCTTGATAAACCTTGATAAACAAGGACAATGATGAGGGGTTAGGGGTGTCAGCCACTTTGCTGGGTGCAGCTACATCCAGAATATCCCCCCCTGCCCCAAGTGTGTCTGTTCTTTTCTGAAATCCCTCCTTTTTCTGTTCCTCCAGCTCAGCTCTGCCTCTAGCTGGGATTACCTGGCGTTGTCTCGGCCATGAGACTTCAGGAAGTTCTTATCTCGGTATTTGGACAGGAACATCACCAGCTCCTCATTGGTCCTGAGGTGCAAATTAGAAAGCATTAACAGTCCCTGGGGTAAAGCAGCCCAGTAAACATTCACTCTGCAAGAGCCACCAGACAAAAAGAGCCTAAGGCTGCTTGATAGGTGCTGACTCAAACCCTGGCCCCATCGCTAGGGAGATACAGATGTGGCCCCTCTGCTGTCTGGTGCCTCACTTGTTGGTTCCCCTGCAACACCCAGATGGCAGGAAAAAACAGCCTCCGAGGTACTGGCTGGACTTCTCTGCAGAGAAGTGACCAGCCTGGCTCCGGAGCATCATCACCAGCACGTGGGTGCAATCTCCAATCCCATCCTCCCTCAGCTCCCTGCTCCTCCCTGCCCCTCCCAAGTCTGCTGCAGCATCATGCAGCCCGAACACCTCCATCATCCTCCCCTGCCCCAGCAAGGTCCTCACCTTGTGGGGTAGTCAGTGGCACTCAGGTTGATGAAAAAGTCCCAGGGCCACTCGGCCAGTTCCAGCAGATCCTTCATGCTACGCAGGTACATCTTCAGCAGGCTGGCACCTCCCCAGATGGTCACCATGCGCCAGGGTGTCACGCGGATGTTGGGGTAGTGCCGGGCCAGCTCCACTGCCTCGCGATGGAGGTAGTTGGAGCGCTGCCAGGGAACATGGCTCATGGTCAGCAGGGAGCTCGCCTTCCCGGGGCCTCCTTGCCACTAACCCGGGCTCAGCCCTTACGGCAGCCTCCAGCAAGACAAGACTGCTCTGGGCAGGAGGCATAGATCCTGCTTCCCTGGGGTTGCAGAAATAGAGGTGGGAGGGTCACAGCTCCACCGGCAGCAAGGACAAACCCTTCCCAGCCACTTCCTCCAGCACAGTGGATGCTGTGCCTCCACTCACCGCCTACCCATGCCCCAGCTCTGCACCCTGTCCTAGTGACCGATCCAGGCACTGTTAGCATCTCCCTTCCCCTCGTCCCTCCTGCTTACCTTGTCGACATGGATATAGAAGAAGTGCTGCTGGTGGTACACAGCCTTGATGAGCCGCTTCAGCTGGCGAATAGCCCTGCCGTGCACAACCAGCATATAAGCGATGCGCACGGGCTTGCTGGGGGGTGCCTGCTGCAGCCGGCTCTCGTCCCACTGGATGACGGGGCTGACCTTACCTGCATGGGGAGGGAGAGGGCTGTCAGCCGCCTGCGGCCTTGGCACCCACTGCCCCACCACCCGGAGCTCCTGATAAACCAGGGAGATCCGGGCAAGGCAGGGGACAGCAGGGAAGAGCTCAGCCTCGGACAAACCCCATCACGCTGCAGTGCCAGGGCATCGTGGCACACGCAGCCCCTTGCGTTAAATTGACAGGGCTACAACGAGTGGGGGGAGGTTGGGTGTGTCCTTCTCTGGCCCCTCAAAACAGAAGATACAGTTGGGCCTGGCTCTGACCTCTGCAGGCCAGAATGAACAGCCCAGTTTAAGGAGGGCACAGCTTTGATTGGATTACAGAAGCAGCAGTAATCTGGGAATCAGTGACAGATTGAGGTCACTTTTTGCCAGGTGGGACAGTTTGGTGACATAAGGAAGGTGGCCCACGCGCCTGGCTGGGATATTCTCGATGCCCAGGGGCAACTGGGAACACCCCTGCAGGACTCACCCAAGAGCTGGCAGTGGCGAGGCACAGACTGGGGCATGAGGCTGCCGGCCCGGTGCAGACACACCACGTTGGCGATCTCCTGTTGGCACTGCTTGCTGCTGGCCCGAGCCGCAGCGCCGGGAGGGCTGCTTTGCCTGTGATTTCACACTTGGGGGTGAAGCTGTTCTCGGTGGGCTGGGGAGCCCCCTCCACGCTGCCCGTGTCGCCCTGCTGGAAGATGGCCAGCTGGGCCTCCCCACGTGGCTCTGTCAGGTTCCTCCGGCTGGAGGAGTCCGGCGCACCTGGCAGCCTCCGTCCTGGTTTGTGTCTCACCGTGACGGCTCTCACCACCTTGGACACCAGTGCCCCAGGGCTGTCCAGCCGTCCCCGCCATCGCCCGTGCTTCCGGCTGGCACTGCCCCGGCGCCCAGCAGAGCTGTCCGAGTCCTTGGAGCCGTCACTGCTCTCGGGCAACCTGGTTTTTTTCTGCCGCTCCTGTTTCAGTTCCAGGTAGATGCAGAAGAGACGACCGACAGCCTTAACTCAGACCCCCAGCCCTGCCAATGTGCTCCCCAGAGCATCCATGTCCCCAGCGCTCAACGTTCCCAGTCCATGCTGCAACATGCCAGGTGCTCCAGGAGCAGCCACCATGCAGCAAAGGAGTCTGTTACACCACCCCTCTGCCACCTAAAACCCCAGGCTAAGACCCCACAGCACCTCCCTGCACAGTCCTATGCCCCCCTCACAGGGACACCCCTCTGTATGCCAGCAAGGGAGACTGCGATTTGCAGACCCCGTGGTCACAACACCCTGGACGCACAAAGGTCTTGCTCTCTGCTGCCGGGCTCGCCACAAGACTAAACAGCCAAGGTCAGTTTTGTCTGCACCAGCCATCCTCTGGGGTCCTGTGTGGGCAGGAGCACCCCCGCACGGTGGGGATGAGCACAGGGCTGCTTTGGCTGGCGGTGGTTATTTTACTGGGAGGCAAATGGACCAGCTCCTGCCTGCCAAGATCACGCTGTGAGCCCAAGCCCAGCACATCTGGGTCCCAGGTGGCCGCAGCTGCGCTTTCTAGGGCTAAAAGCACTGGAGAGGCACTGAACGAGGCCCTGCCCGCACTCCCTTCCCTGGGCCCTGGCTCCCTGTGCTGGGCTGGAACAGTCGCTGCAATCGTGAGCTTCTCTAGAAATCCCTTTAAGAAACCCTCCCGCCGAGCCAAGTGGATGTGTAAAAGGAGTAGTTAATTACACTTCGTTACCTCTGCCAGGCTGGCTGATGAACAGAAACGAGTCAGCCTTGGAGAGAGCAGAGAGTTGGGAAGTTTGGATGCCTGCGAGAGCCACACTCATGGGAAAGCACTTTCCCAGAGAGTTATGCCCCCAGCCCACCGCAGGCGCTCCTGGCCAATAGGCAGGCAGGCAGCAAAGCAGCTGCCTGCTCCCACCAGGCCTCCCAGGGCTATCTTACAATGCCCTCAAAACTCTGCCTGCCCAGCCACTGTGCCAGGCATCATGGGAGGCAGCGAATGCATCGGGGGCTATTCCTGAGCAGCAGAATCTTCTGAGGATGGGCAGGTGCCTCACAAGGACTGCGGGACCAAATCAGCCCCCTGCACAAGCGCCCCTGTGGGCGTAGCTGCTGGGAAGTCACGGTCAGGAGCAACCATGCCGTACAAAGGCTGGAAAGCACCTGGCAAAATCTGCCCACTCCAGTGTCCCTGAACTACTCATGTTGTGGTGGCACAGCCTGCAAACCATGGCTACCCAAGAAGGGGCCAAGCCACCGCTTAACTTCTGAGGGGCTGGCATCAGTGAGGATCAGCCGAGTCCCCTTCTGCCCAGACAGGCATCACAGGCGGCCCAAGACAGGCAGCAAACCGTTCATTAGTCACCACGCAGGACCATCTGTTCAAGAGTTATAAACCTGTTTTCTCTGCTGAGCATCACAGGAGAGGGGAATCAGGAGGCGACAAGCGAGGAGCGAGTCTCTTCTGCGGGCTCAGCCCTGTTCCTGCTGGAAGAGACCCACCGGCCCTGCTCACACCCTCTGCTCCCCAACATGCCTGGCTCTGAGAACAGCCCCCGCGGGATACCCACCCTCTGCCA